AAGTTGACCCTGATTTCTTAGTTGTTCTTGTCTTCTGGCAGCTCTGCGCAGGCGCACACTGGGAACAGGCTCCAGCTGTTCTTCTGCCTCACTGCTGTCTAGCTCCCTCTCTGCCTCCTACGCAGAGCCTCGTCTGAGCTTTCCTCAGCCCCAGGACTGGCCCACGTTCCTCCCCAACCTCCTCACTGTCCAACTCTGCTGCCAGCTCCACTAATTGCCGGCGGGCCACAACACCAAACCACGAAGTAGATAGAACCATTGTAGTCGGTTTCTTTATGTTGTACAATGAAGAAATTGTTAGTGAACAATAGCTCAGGGTTCAACTGTGAGGCCTTAGCGTCCTCTGAGCTTGATGGTTTCCTGCAGATGTTTCATTCCCCAACTAGGTTACCCCATCAGTGTCAGGAAGGAGTATGGTTTGAGAAGGAGGAGGAGGATTGTGAGGTCCTTAGTGCAAATGTTTCTTGATCCAACTAGGTAATATCATCAATGCTTGGAAGGTGTGGGGTTTGGGGAGCAGGAGGAAGAGGAGGACTGTGGGATCCTTGGTGGCCCCTGAGCTTTTGATTGTTTTCTTGCAGACATTTCATGACCCAACTAGGTAACATCATCAGTGCTGTGGCATTCCCACAGTTTACTAAAAACAAAAAACAAAACCCCACACATTTAGATGTGAAGTTGAGGGCTTTTGTTTTCCTTTGGTTGTTCAACTTCCTAAGTTTTGTGTTGTATATTCTGCTTTTTGGTGTTTTTTCCCCCCCTTAGTCGGATCCTCAAGCTCTCTTAGTTCCGGAGGATCTTTCAGTGGGCGCCACTTCATTATGGGAGCCGGTGGGGAAATCCTTGAAGCTCCATCAGGGCTCAGATATACTTTGGCTGACCCAATTGCTGCCAACCTGGAAGGAGCCGTCACTTTTGAGGCACCTGAGCTACCAGAGGAGACCCTCATGGAAGTGAGTTTCTTTTTTCATTTATTTATTTATTTTTATTTTTCAAAGCATAAATATCATCTTTGCAACATTTCTACATTGTTAAATATCCATTATACTCCTTTTATCCGTACATATAAACCTTTATATATCTATATATGTCCATTTTTACATATTTTCATTGACTTCTATTATTATTTATACTTTGATTTCTTCTATTCACATTGCTCTTTCCATCTATTTATTTCTATATAAAGATCTTATATCCTTCTATATAGATATCTCTCTCTTATAGTTCTTATTCTGTACTATTTTATA